GGCTGAGGCAGAAGCTCGTTAGCAAGGAAGTCTTAGACTCTGCCCAGACTGCTACCTGGTTTCTAATTCTCTTGGCAGATCCTACTTCCTGCTGCTGCCTTATCCCTTTGTCTGGCCCTATTCTCTGTTTTCTGAGGAGTTCCTATTTCCTGACTTCCATCTCCTGACCTTGCACGTGGGTATCTGTGTCTGTTGGTTCACCTTGCTTTCAGGAATTGGTGGCTTCTCACTTCCTGACTAGCACACTATGGGTTCTCCACTTTCTGTCTTTTGATTCCCGTGCCTTCCTGGCTCCTGCCTGCTTATGTAGTCTTTGACTCACCTACCTTATCTCTTACTCTGCTCTCTGTATTCCAGCCAGGTTTTGACCAACGTTTTGTTGTGCTGTACTGGTACTATGTGCACCTTGACTCATGACTGCTTATCAAGATGGTATGCACAAGACTTAACGAATGGTATGGAATGGGCACTACCCTGTCAGAATGGCTGTCAGCTCTAAACAACAGGGATGGCTGTCACTGCACATACTGGCTGAACAGCAGCCCAGCTTACTAGACTCTAGACCCCTCCAACTGCTCTGAGAGGCCTTGTAGGGCTGGTGCCTCAGATTTGCTCCTTACTCATCTCCAGGCTTCGCACAGCTGGCCTTGTGCCCTGTTTCATGAGCTCCTATTACCCACGGTCCTAGAACTGACCTTCTTATCACCACTCTATCCAGAGGTCAGTAGGGGAAACCTGGCAACGTACTTAAAGAGATGGTAGCACTGATGTCGAAACAGGAGGCAAAACATAAAGGCAGAAATATGTATATTCCAGGTATAGCAAAAGTCTCTCTTTTTTTAAAGATTTTATTTATTTGACAGAGAGAGACACAGCGAGAGAGGGAACACAAGCAGGGGGAGCGGGAGAGGGAGAAGCAGGCTTCCCGCAGAGCAGGGAGCCTGATGCGGGGCTCGATCCCAGGATCCTGGGATCATGACCTGAGCCGAAGGCAGACGCTTAACGACTGAGCCACCCAGGCGTCCCATAGCAAAAGTCTCTTTGCAGCAAAAGGCTCTGTATAAAATTGTGCTGTATCTTAAGAGCTGATTTTGTTTTCCTGGCCTGGCAAAAGGAAGTCTTTTCTGCACATGCCTTCTACAAACCTCTTTGAACCACTTATAGTCTACAAGAAACGATTTGGTTGTGTGTGATTTACAAATAAAGAGAATGAGAGGAAACCCTACACCTTCTGTTCTGTCAAAAGGCTGGATCTGTTCTTTCCCCCAACACTCCCCTAACTCAAAATATAAAGATCTACTACTGGGAACTTCCTTCTATATGGGCATAAATCTTGAATGTAAAGAGGAAAGGGACAGTGCTTTCAGGATGGTTCTTGAGTAGAACTGGCATTTCAAAGGTTTGGGAATTATTAATGCTTTGAGGTTGGAATTAGGGGATGCAGTATCTTTTTTCCCCCTTTCTTTTGTTTAAAGTAGGCTCCACACCTAATATGGGGCTCGAACTCACACCCCCAAGATCAAGAGATGCATGCTCTATCCACTGAACCAGCCAGGCGCCTCCGGGGATGCAGTATCTTAAGAATAAATGATTGTGGGGTGTCTGGGTAGCTCAGTCGGTTGAGCATCGCCTTTGGCTCAGGTCATGATCCCAGGGTCCTGGGATCAAGCCCCACGTGGGGCTCCCTGCTCAGTGGGGAGCCTGCTTCTCCCTCTCCCTCTGCCTGCTGCTTCCCCTGCTTGTGCTCTCTTTCTCTCTGTCGGATAAGTAAATAAAATCTTAAAAAAAAAAAAGAATAAATGACTGATAATAGCCAAAACAAACCAAGAAAGGGAACTTGCCCTGAGCCCACTTTCACCTCCAACAGGACTTAAATCTTGGAAACTCAAAGCCACAGATTCCCTGCAGCTGTGTGTCACTAACCACCTAGTTCTCTTTATGTACTCTCTAATTTCATTGCTCTCTCCCACTTTAATTTAAAAAGTCCACACTTACAGAAAAGATAAAAGAACAGTACAACAAACACCTGCGTACCATTGTCTTAGATTCACTGTCCTTGGCCACATCCTGAGCTTGCTCCCCCACCCTTAGACTTGTTGCCCCTGAACTACCTGAAAGTTGCAAATATCACGACACATTTCCTCTAATACCTGCACCTCACACGAAGAAGCACAGTGTCCTACATAACCACAGTACCACTACGGTGCCTAAGAAAATGAAAAGTAATTCCATCATATTATGTAATATGCAGTCCATGTTAAAATTTTTCCAATTGTCTCCAAATCATCTTTTAGAGTTTTTTTCCCTGATCTAGGATCCAAAGTTCATACATCTCAAATGGTTGTTACATCACTTGAGTATTTTTATCTACAAAACTCCCCACACTCCCAAACTCGACTTTCCAGTCTTTTTGGCAGGAACACTGCATAGGCGAAGTCATAATCTTATTGCATCCCAACAGGAGACGCTTACTAGATGCTGGTAAGCTTGATCACTAGGCAGAGGTGATGACCTCCTCCTGCTTCCACTGTAAGGACACATTTTCTCGGGGTAATCCATGGTGAGATAATCCTATTCTCCAACAACCTCTCACTCAAAGGTTTTGAACCCATGGATAAGTCCTTGCCTGAATCAGTTATATTAGGGTTTGCGTAGCACTGGTTTTCTGGTTCTTGTATTCCTTTCATTGTGTATTATTCAAACAATGACCCATTAGTACCCATCCTCTCTTTCCTCAGTGCATATGCTCTCTGGTTACTTCTTGCTGGGGCTTTCCCCCATGTCCTTGCTGACCACATCTGACCACTTTAGTCTAGACCCCAGGAGCCATTTGCTTATCCATCTACCTGCCCATCTCACGACTTCACCTTCAGCAAATTAAAAACAGAAACAAAGAAACACATGTTGCCTACCAATTTACAGTTCTTTAAAATTAAAATGGCTATAATACATATTTATTGGGTTAGACTGAAGAAAGTAGATAGAGAAAATCAGTTTTTTGTTTTGTTTTGTTTTGTTTTAAATCAGATTGCCTAAGCCCTGAAAAATCTTTCCTCCTCACTAGGGTAAAGCCACTCATTCTGTCACAATCAGGCTTTTTGTAATGGTGTTGAACAGAAGCAACCTCATATCTTCAGGCCTCTGATGAGAATGTTGGAAGAACAGAGGTTTAGAAATCATGTAGCCCCAACGCCCCATTTTACACGGATAGAGAGACTCAGAGAGGTGAAGGGGCTTGCCCAGAGTCCCTCAGCTCCTTAATGGTAGAGCTAGGACAGAAACCTGATTTGAAAAATACCTCCTCTGATGTTCTTTTCGTTCCCTTCTCAAGTGCTTTGTGATTCGGCTGTTTAATGGGCAAGATGAAGCCATAGCATTCACGGCCTCCTTCACTGCTAATTTGCATTTTGCCTAAATCACCTTCCCACCTTGGAACGCTTTAAGTAAAAATTCCCATTAGGAGCCTTTTATTAATATTATTATTTTAAAAATCATCTTGATTTCTGCGGATCAATAGGGAAAATTTAGGAAGACTCAGGGAGCACATGCTACCATGACTTTAACCAGGAAAAAAATAAAGGTCTCGAGGACCTGCATCAGGCCGCTCCCCGAATGCCGCTTTCCCAGAGGCTGAAACGCCCTGCGGGTGACAATTCCAGGGATCTTAAGACGCCAGCCGGAATGCATCCTTCCCAGTCGCCCGCTTTAACGATGCAGTGAGAGGCACCGGGCTCCAGGAGCTTGTCTAACGTTCACAGGAGAGGGGAAAGTGGGGAACAAAGCCCAGCGTGGAAAAACCCAGCCCCGCAGCGCGAGGAAGGCAGGAGACCGCGCCCTGACTGCAGCGGCCCGGCGGGGTGCCGAGGCTCCGGAGCCGCAGTGCGCAGCGTGGGACTCACACCCCGGCAGGCGCCTCCCGCCCGCGCCGCCCCGCACAGCCCGCGGGGCCGCGGAGGCTACAGGCGGCCCTGGCTCTGGGCGCCTGCCCGTCCGAGTGCGGACGGCGCGCAGCATCATCCTCCAGCCCGCTGGAAGAGAGCCTCCAGCCCCGCGTCGCGAGCCGAGGTCTGCACACCGCGCCTCGCCCCGGCCGCCCCCCGCCGCCCCCCCACCCCGCGCCCGCTCACCGGTCCGTGCGCCCATCCGGGAGCCGGCGGTGCGGGCCGTCTGTCCGTCTGCCCGGAGGTAGCGGGGACCGCCGAGCAGGGGCGGCGCCGTGGCCGGGGCGAGCGCGGCGATCAACAGGCGGCTCCCGGCCGGGCGCGGCGCCGGGGCGCGCGGCGTCAGCGGAGCAGCCTGGGAAGCGTAGTTCGCGGCGGCGCGCCGCGGCCGCGAGGAGGCGGGACCCCCCCTGCCGTGTCCTCCCCTGCAGGTGTTCTCTCGCGGACTCTACGTCTCGACCCCGTCACCGCTCTGCAGGCGGCGAGGACCTCAGCCTTGGGAAAAGACTGTGCAGGCTCTTTTGAGAAGCTCGGGGCTACAGATAGGATGGGTAGCAAAGGCTTTTCAAGCCTGTGAGGAGCTATTGGGTGAGTGAACATCTTTACGCGGAAGCTTTAAGAGCTCGTTTTTACTGGCTTTACTGGGGCCTGGGGCGGGGACGGGGGAAGGAGGAGTGCCTGAAAGTAGGGAGGTAAGCAGGTGGGGTTGAGCGAGGCTGATTTAACATTTGGGGGTTAGGGTATTGAAGAGCTCGTGCACACGCGGTGGCCTTTACTAGATGTTAGACTGGACAACGCAGCCTCTCTCGAGTCTTAGCATCCTCATCTGTAAAATAAACTTAAAGCCTGAAGATACATTGTGAGGACTAAACCCATATTAAATGGTGCATATATGAAAGCACCTGTGTTGGGCACTTAACACATCCGCAATAAAGTTCCTTCCTTGGAAGTTACAGGGGTGTTCCTGGGCACACTTCTTGCCTGGAAAGTTCTACCTATAATACTAAGTTAAAAACAGGTGAGCTTCATTGGGCTGGGTAGATAAATGTTAAAACCCACCTCGCTTGTTATTGTCAGCCGTTTAGCCAGTTCACTTCATCCTGGAACGTACTGAAATGTCCTTTCTGCCAGGTTCTTGGGAGCTACAAAGATAGAGAAAATACGCTCTTGTCTCTGAGGCAAGAAAGTGGGGTGGGGTGACATTGGACTAAGACCGAAATTCCTAAAATACGTGGCATAATGGGATTATCTTCCAGAAGCTTTCTCTAATTAGATGTGCTCTCACTCCTTTTTGAACCTCTTTTGCATTATTCTAGTGCAACTCTTTTTTTTAATTTTTTATTATGTTAATCATCATAATTACATCATTAGTTTTTGATCTAGTGCAACTCTTGTATGTAGCATTTGTCTGGACAGTTTAAATGTGTTGACTTTTGTAAGTAGCCACTATGCAGTATTTCACCTTATGGTGAGATTTGCATCTTAGGGATGTGATGGAAGGAAGGTAAACCAAAGGGATGGATAAAACATTGCTAGTGTAATCTGTAGTAGTCAAAGGGTGAATGGAGGTGAAACAGCCTCATAATCTGGCATGACCTCTGCAGGTATCATGTGGCAAAAAAAAAAAAAAAAAAAAAAAAACAGAGGAAATTCCATATTTGAAAATAACAAAATTTTGCATTTGTGAAAATACTTTCCTACTCATGTTCTCACTTGATTTTGGCAACAATCTGTGAAATACAGAGTAAGTATTTTCCCCAAATTTCTAAGAGGCGCAGAGAGGTGATATGACTTACTCAGGGTCATCTAGTTGATTATTAAGCCTATCTTCTCTCCTTCCACCCTGTGAATTCTCGACCTTCCCCAAAGAGGCACTCTCAGTACTCTTTCCTTTGTACATTGCAAAACAGGGCCATGCCTTCCCCAGAAGGTAGGTTGAATCAGAAAACAGTTAATTCTCTAAGGCTCTTGGAACTAGCCGGATGAACAATGGCACACCGGAGGTGCTTTCCACTTTCAACAGTGCTAATGGATTATACCCTGGGCCTCTTCACCAGGATGACACATCTGATCTGGAAATAGTGAAATGAAAGGAGGTGTGACCAAACCTGCTTAAATCATGCTCCCAAGTTTTCTTGTCATTTGTTATTCCAAATGTCCTGGGAGACATGATTTCTTTGACTTTTTTTGTGTTGTGCATAAATTTATCACCAATCATAGCCTCTGTTAAATAAGAACAGGACTGCTTGCAAATCAAGCCAGCAGTTTTCCCAGAGAAAGCTGATGGTAGGCCTAAACTTAAAGTAATAAAACAATTTTATTCAGATTGAAAGAAAGAGTAGCAAAGGTTTGATATAGCAACAATACTCAGTGGTATACCATCTTTCTCTTTGGTTTTCTTGTGGTTCCCCACAAGAAAAATGCCTGTGTGTGATGAAATAAATGGAGAATTACTTCGGATGAAGTCTGTGAAAGGTAGCAAGCATAGAAATGATTTCTTAAGTTAAAGTCATAGTTGGCAGTGAAAGCAAAGTTACGAGAGCTCTGTGGCAGTCACAGAGCCATGTATGAGCTCCAGGAGGATGCTGACACCAAACGAAAGGAAGTAAGTTATGAAAAAGAACTTCTAATCAACCTCTGTCTGTACCATGAGGGCTAGAAGCTAGTAGATGTTAACGAAAGAGGCAGGAAGGTAGAACATTTAACCTTTCTATTTTTAATAGTTAAAACTTAATGGAAAGATATGATCAGTTCCAGTTTGTGTGGTTCTTTAAATCTAATACCCATGTCTAAAACTTTTTAAGGGCGAGAAGGATGTCAGCCATGCCTAGGACTTGTCAGCTGAAACCCATCATCATTCCTGGACCATATCTTGTAGGTTTAATTTATCAACTTGCTTTTTCGAAAATGAAAATGTAAATTTGAAACGGCTCGAGCTGGAAGGGACCTTACATATAATCTTATCTAGTGTCTTTGTGCAGGCAAGGAAGCTGATAGGTCAACAGTAAATGTCACTTGATAGAAAGTGAAAAATTCTGTGTGGCACTTATAATGAAGTATTTGCATTATTCACAATGGAATGTGTAGCATAGCTCATTAAGAACATGGAGCAGATACTGTTGCTTGCTTACTCAACATCCATTCACCCCTCTTCCTTCTTTACAGGATCCCGTTCACCCACCAGGGGAGGTGACCCTATTACCGTCTCAGAGGTACAGTCCAAAAACTATCATGGGCAAGGGGAATAAGAGCCTCTTGACTGGCCAGTGAGCAGTTAGGGGTGGGCACGTGACCCCGTTCTGTCAGTGAAACCTGAGGAGAGTTCTGCTGAAAGCCTTCTGGGAAAAATTTTCTTGCTCTTAAACAGAGACATACAGGGAAACATTCCACCATCTCCACTGGATGTTGTTGCATCTGGCTGTGTTACCTGAAACTTGACCCTTAGGACAAAGCCAACACATCAATGATGGCAGAGTAAAGAGATGGAATGAGCCTGAGTCTATGATGTTGTTAAGTCAGCAAATCAATCAGACCTGCTGGCGTCCCACTTCTGGATTTCTTTTCTTTTTTTTTAAGATTTTATTTATTAGAGAGAGAGAACATGTAGGGGGCAGGGGTAAAGGGAGAGGGAGAAGCAGACTCCCCTCTGAGCAGGGAGCCCAATGCGGGGCTCAATCCCAGGACCCTGGGATCAAGACCTGAGCGGAAGGCAGACGCTTAACCCAATGAGCCACCCAGGTGCCCCTGGATTTCGTGTTATATGAGATAATAAATATCCTTATTGCTGAATCAATTTGAGACATTTTCTGTTACTTGAAGTTGAAAACATCCTAAGTGTTACAGATGAAATGTAAAATTAAGTTCTTTGGATGGACTAAAGGACTACTTCTCAGAGTTTATAAAAATAAACGACAACCACAGCCACAGGCAAAAGTTGGGGATGTTATCATGTAATGGATAGAAGTATGGGTTGTAACGTCAGACAGACCTGGGTTTGAACCCAGATATTTACTGCCTCAAGAGTTAACTGTGACCAATTTTTTTGAACCTCTCTAAGCCTCATTTTCTTTATCTCCAGACAGGGGATAATAATACTTACCACATGGGGTGGTTATACAAATTAAATGGGATAATTTGTGTCAAGTATGCTACAAAGGATCTGATGCCTAGTAAGCACTAGGGCGTGGCAACTACATTGCTGAACTATGAATTAAGTCACATTTATAATGTACTTGGCAACAGGCATCTAAAAGTGAATCACTATCTAATAGTGATCATGTTAAATGACATCATAGTAATATAATCAGCAAAATCCAGAATGTGGGCAACTCTACACAACAACCTATTTCTCCGATAAATAAATTGTAATAAAATTAAAAGAGGGGGAGAGCTTATAGACACACAGAAACATAAGAGACAAATAATGAAATGCAATATGTAGCACATCTTGATTTGAACAAAACAGCTGTTAAAAATCACATGAGACAATTGAGGGACAACATGAGAACATAGGATATTTGATTATATTAAGATATTATTTTAAAGTTTTTAGATGTGATAATGGTACCATATATTTTTAAAAGAGTCCTTATCTTTTAGAAAGATACTATTGAATATTACTGAAAACTCACTGAATATTTGAAGAAGAAATAATATTTGGGGTTTGCTTTTAAAGATAAGCCAGTGTGAGAGTGACAGTAGGGTGGCAGCATCAGGGTGTAGATGAAAAAAGATTGGTCACGAGTTAATAATGGTGGAAGCCGGGTGTTGGACCATTATTAAACTATTTTCTGTACATGTTTCAAAACAGCTTCATTGAGATACATTTAATATTTCATAAATTCACCCTTTTTAAAGTATACAATTAAATGGTTTTTAGTACATTCACAGAGTTATATAACTCTCACCCAATCTAACTTTAGAACATTTTCAAAATCCCAAAGAGCAAACCCATACGCATTGGCTGACCCTTACCCCCACACTGCCAGACCCTGGTGACCACTAATCTATTTTTTCTTCTCTGAGTTTGCTTGTTCTGGACATTTCACATAAGTGGGATATATCATATGTGGTGTTTTGTGACTGCCTTCTTTCACTTAGCATAATGTTTTCATGGTTCATCCATGTTGTACCATATTATCAGTACTTTATTTTTTATGGCCAAGTAACATTCCACTGTATGGATATGCCACATTTTCTTTGTCAGTTGATGGGCATTTAGGTTGATTCCATGATATCCATGATATCCATGGATAATGCTACTATGCATATTTGTGTACATCTTGTATGGACGTGTTTTCATTTCTCTTCGGTATATACCTATGCATAGTAGTGGTTAGGTCATACAGTAACTTTATGTTTAGCATTTTGAGGAACAGCCAAACTATTTTCCAAAGTAGCTGAATCATTTTACATTTTTATCAGAAATGTAGGAGGGCTCCAGTTTCCTCCATATCTTTGCCATCCCTTCTTAATGTCTGTCTTTTTTGTTTTTATTGTAGTCATCCTAGTGGTTGGAAGTGGTATCCCCTTGTATTTTGATAGGCATTTCTCTCATGACTAATGATATCGAGCATTTTTTCATGTGCTTATTGGCCATTTTTATACCTTCTTTGGAGAAGTGTCTATTTAAATCCTTTGCTCAATTTTTTTCAGGTGTACGACATAGTGGTTTGACAATTCCATACATGAAATGCTTTCCACAGTGTAGTTACCATCTGTCGCCATACAAGGGTATTACAATATTATTGACTATATTCCCTATGCTGTACTTGTCCTGTGACTTACGTATTTTGTAACTAGAAGTTTGTACCTTGTAATCCCCTTTACATGTTTCACCTATTCTCCCCCACATCTCTCTCCTCGGCAACCATCAGTTTGTTCTCTGTATTTGTTTCTGTTTGCTTTGTTTTGTGTTTTAGATTCCATATATAAGTGAAATCATACAGTATTTGTCTTTCCCTGACACATTTCACTTGCCAGACTACTCTCTAGGTCTATCCATGTTGTCATGAATGGCAAGGTTTCATTCTTTTTTATAGCTGAGTAATTTTCTATTGTGTATCTATACCACATCTTCTTTATCCATTCACCTATTGGTGGATACTTAAGATTGCTTCCATATTTTGGCTATTGTAAATAT